TAATTCCTTCACTAGCTTAGTGTTTTTGGACCTTGAGCATCATTTGTGTGCCTTGGATGCATGTTTTTAATGCTTTTCCATGCCTTATTCCAACACCTACATATCTGCAACCTAACTCAATTCTTCACTTTTTTATTTGCTTTGAGGGTTGTTTAGCCTTAGGGTTGTATTTAAGCTTGAGATTGAGGTTTGTGCTTAATGGTTTTAATCCTCTTTTGAGGGTTTCTACTAATCAAAGGCATGACCTCTCTCTTGCTTTAAACTATCCCTTGGTTGACACCTCTTCCATTAGAGGGCACTCATTTCGGATTTAATCAATTAAAGAATGGATTGGTAAGGTAAAATGAGTAAATAAAATTGAACAAGTAAACGAGACAAGATAAAGCATCTTTCGTGTTGCATTGCATGTGTTTGGATCGGACGTTAATCCTAACACGAGGGAAATGGGACGTTTCATACTCAAAGTGATGAAACGTGTCACTGTCCTTGGTCTCCATTGCCCTAGATCATGCATGATAGGGTGGTGGTCCTTTGAGTCATATTTGTGCACTTATTGAAATTGTACAACTTGGATCTTTGACCGTCATGCATGGAAATGCTTGGTTGATGGTTTGAGGGCCAAGAGTTGCATCCTTTGAGCTTGTGTGATGATAAGGAGGGTAACAGTACACACACTCCTTAAGAATACACTGTTTTGCCTCTGTTTGCTCCCTGTTGCATCAAAAAGAGAAGTCTAGGGAAGGGGTGGCCGACCGGCCACCAAAAGCAGCCAACAGCCACCATTGGTAACCAACCAGCCATCAATGAAAGTTGCTCTGTGTGCTCCTAAAAGGGGTCAGAGGTGTTCTGGAAATTGGCGAAATCTTCGGTGTTCAAACAAGAGCAAATAGAGGTGTCCGATGGCAAGGCGATGGATTTTTTGGAGGAAGCCAACCAAGTATGCATGCATCCCTCGCTTCCCGAGGCCCTTTAATCACCTTGTTTAGTTAGTTAGTGGTAGCTAATTAATTAGTTTAATTTCTTTGTTTTTAATTAGTTAAGTGTTTAGTTAATTAATTCGGTTTGTAATATTTAATTAGCTTAGAATAGTTAGTTAAACATTGTGTTGTAATAATTAGCTTAATTAGCATAGCTAGTTAGCTTATTCATTCGGACCCTCCTTTACGAGGGCATAATATTATAATAAGTGTGTGTGTATGTGTGTGCATGTCTTCCAACCCCACGTCTTTCTCTCTTTTACTTAATCGCTTTTGATGGTTAGATTAGAGATCATTTTCAATTAGCATACCTTATGCTCGCATGTTGGCATCCATTCATTTGTCTTGCATGTACTGAGGCTCGACACATCATTCAAACAGCATCGTTATTTCATATACTTCTTTGAATATGTGTTTACAAGCATGTCATCAAATTGAATTAAGTCATATGCCATATTAGTAGTCGAGCCTATTAATTTTATATTGCATGTGTTGCATTAGGCATCTTCTATACTTAGGATCATGCATTTTTCTAACTAGTTTTTTTATTTTGGCTTGGAGTACTCGGTAAGCTTTTTTCGCTTTAACATGCTTGCATGAGTGTGATTGCCATATTGCCATATTCCGTATGCTTACCATGAGGCTATTTGCTTAAGTGATTAATTGCATGAATGCCTGTGGATGAAGGTTTTGTTGTTTGAATTGGAACGATTCAACAAATGTGAGTTTTAAGCCCACTTGAGGTGGCAAATCCGCATCTTTTAAGCCAACTTGAGGGTGACAAATTCAAACCGTTTTCGAAAACAAACATGATTTGAATTGTTCCAATTCTTGCAATCTTAGTCTATACTTGCTTGTGCGCGTCACATAGTAATGTTAGCTAATAATCAGAATAAGAACACATAAGGTTTATAAAAGAACATATCATGATTAGTAGAGGCCGATCTTTGATCGGGCGAGCGGGGGTGCTCAATTCATGACCTTCCCCCCTCATACCCAAATTCCCGAGCCGAGGCAACTTTGGTGATGACAGACACGTGGCCTTTGGCACGAGTCAAGGTTTCCTAAGTTTCTCCAAAATAAAATATTTAGGTGGCGACTCTGTAATCTGGCAAAGCAGTTCAATTTTGGCATTATTTGATTGAAAATCGAATTTTCAAAAGGTTTGCCAGATTTGGACTCTTTGTTGTTTATCAGTATCACATTGCACTTGTGAGACTAGATTCAAAATCGCGGGAGTCTCAACTGTGAGGCCTTTCTTTTCAAACCCTTTTCCAAAAGGCAGGGGCACGAGAAAAAGGCGAGCCCACAACTGTAGAGGATAATAATGAGCTCCATCATGGCATGTTCAATATACGCTTCGAACATGGTCATTTTAAAATACCAAAGTTTAAAGTCAATGATAGGACAGAAACATTATTGTGTAACATCATTGCCTACGAGCAACATTCCTCAGACGATGAACCAAAATATTTCGCTGATTATGCATACCTCATGGATAAACTTATCAACTCCAAAAAAGATATGAACCAACTTCATCACCCTGAAGTTCTTGACAACTTGCTTGATGATGACAACGAGCTAGCACTCATGTTCAACAACTTGAGTAAAGGAAAGCTCATTTTGAAGTAGTTCTACTACGCGCTAAACCGTGCAGCAAAGTGAACACTCATTGCAAGACATGGAGGAAGAAGAGTAGATTCATTGAACCATGATAACTCCACAAATGTATGGGTCACTGTTGCCACTATCGCAGCCGCTTTTCTCCTGCTCCTCACTATTGCAGACTCTCATTTCCCAAATTACTACTATTACTCCATCCCCATCCCATTGCTGATATAATATGATAATGTTTTCTTAGTTCACCATCCTATCATCTACTATTTTATTAATATTCCTACATATATGTCTGTGTTTAATCTGGAGAGTGAATGTATCTTTAAAATAAGTGTTGCTCTATTCACCCATAATCTTAAAAATATTGAATGTGTTAGTTAAACTTGCGAACAATCATCTGAATTGTTTGTGTGCTTTCTTATGTGTTTGGTTTCAACTATGGTTTTCCTTTGCTCTAAGGAAAATTATGTAGTGCTCATTAATCGAGGTCCATTTGGTGGTGTGAAGCAAAACATGAATGGTGTCAAGCAAAACTCCAAACCACCAAATAACTTCACCTATTCTAATAGAATTTAAGCTTCCCCAGTGATGCTTTATAGCTGTAATGATAAGAATCTATGTATCTGTAAGGAAATGCAACTGTATGAGTGCATTGTTACATACTTTTTTTTTTTAGATGTTGCAAATTTGTGTGCTAAATGTTACATAATCTTTTGATAGTGCTACGACAATTTTTGATTTCTGAATTTCCGGCGGTCAAAAAACACTCCTATATTGTAGATCTTGGTTTTTTATGTTTAGAAAGAGGGGTTTGAGAGCTTCTCCTCCGATTTTCTACATAGATTTTTGAATTTCTAACACCCACAATGGTCCTCGCTTCTCTCAATCCTCTCCTTTATTGTTGTGGGTGTTCTTCAACTCTGGCTTTTAGAGGTGATTGAAGTTTGAGACAACAACGGTGGAGTTTGAGCAAAGATGACAAGAACAATGGTGACAATGACGGCGGGTTTGGTCTTTAGTTTGATGTAAATCTTATTTTTCCAAATCACATCTTGAGAAAATTGATAGTTTTTCTAGAACCACAACTGTTTTTTTGGCAGCTTTTGTAGTTTATAGTCACTGCAACTCTTTTTTTTTTTTTTGGCAAC